GTAATTGAGGGCGAGACTGAACGGTAAAAGCACTTTGTGTGTGTGTGTGTGTGTGTGTGTGTGTGTGTGTGTGCGCACGCATGTAAACAGCATCTTAAGAGGCTTATTGAATAAAATGAGGGGCAGTTAGGACAAGGGGCTGAGGTGAGCAGTGAAATGTGAGGAATTTACTGCTCTCCCATTGTGACCTTTAACACACTTACACTACGTACAAAACCATAGGCACAGAGAGACAATGTTGAGAAAGAAAGTCTGCAAGAGATCAAACCAGATTTTCCTCACAAGTCTTGAAACTTGAATTACACTGTTACATATCACATGCTATAGATCAGGATCTCAAAGAGGAGATGAGCACAATGTTGCGGGAGAGGGCTTCAACAAGCCTCAGCAAGCAAACAAAACTCCATGTCAGAGACAGACAAGCAGCTGCATGAGATTACGCATTCTTTTGGGAGGAGTACAAGCTGCTTTATGTTACCTGTGAAGTATTTACAGTGGATCTGGTCCTTTAAAGAGTTACTATGCAGGCAATAAGCTGCAAAAACAGGTAATTCAACAATGTCATGGTAAAAAATGAAATGCCTCGAAAGTTTCAAATACTTCACAGAGCAAATATCAAGTTATCACATGGAGAGAGGGTGAGGGGAACTGACAGACTCAGTTGTAAGAAATAGATTATGAATCTAGTGAGAAGTGAAACCGCAAAACCCTCCAAACTTGAGCTGAAAGCAAGAAAGATGCAAGAAAGCAAGAAAGAACCTTTTTAAGGAAAGAGCTGTATGCACACATTTTCTGCTTTGCATACACTTTTCAGTCATTGTGCAACTGTAGAGGTTTAAAAAAAGATCATCTTGGAAAAAAAACATCAGATTCACATTAAGTAAGATAAAACAGTGCAAGTGAAACTTAATGCCAATCAGATAGCATCTCACAATGGCAAAGCCCCTCAGTATATTTCCATTTACGATGACATCTTTTTTCCTTCCAGCCCGTGTAAGACACAATGGATAAACACACATACACACGGGCCAGTACTGTAAATGAGGAAGGAGATCAGTGCTTGCAAATGAAGGAAGCATTGCTCCTGGCTTTGTCTTTCTCACTCCTTTGGAAAAAAAAGGATTTCAACAATGAAAAGGGAAACGGCTGTGGCTGGGATCCATGGGATTGGATTTCTTCCTCAACTGTTCCCCCAACATCCTCTGCATTATTCACAGATGATGACATTCTCTCTGGGGCATGTCTCTATTAAACCGACCCGGAGTTAAGGCACCTCCTGCACAAATTCCTGCACTGTGATATCTCACAGCTAGCATGTGGTGATAAGGCTGATGGTGCGAAAGCCGCACAGTTTTAAATAGTTTAGGGTGAAAAACCTCAGTCAACAACTTGCATCTAGATCAGATACATTTGTGAAGCGAGTCAATGTATGGACATAAGACCCTGTGTGAGTGTGTGTGTGTGTGCATGTGTTTAGACAACTAATTGCAAGTGGTTTCCATTCCTCTCGTCTGCTGGAAAAGCTCATGAAGAAAAGAGTGATGTGTGATGTGTGGAGAAGTGGATGCTGAACAGCTTACACACCATTAGGGCACTTAAATCACATTAGAATCACACACAGCTTCACAATTTAAAAAAAAAAAGTAATAAACTGGGTAAGGGAATGTTAGAGTGAAAATGAGAGAATGAAAAAGAACCAGAAAGAAGAAATTGTGAGTGGTACTTGCCGTACAAACCTCACTGGGATGTTGGGTAGTTGCTTTTCAGCCCAAGTCAAAAGTCTAATGGATTTTTTAACCTGTTTTATCATCTGAAAATCATAAGCCAAATCACTCTCTCTTCAACTGGACACACAATTTAACCCTCTACCGCACGCATTATGATAGACCTATAGAAAAAAATATTTGAATCTTTTTATTTTCTAAGACTGGCTTAACTTGAAGTGCTGTAAAAAACAATTTGGAAAAAAAATATTATTTTAAGGTACTTTATGATATGTTGCCATACGGCAACAGCATACAATAGTGGATCTAACTTAGAATAAGTGTAAGCTTACTTATAATTAATATTTTTCCTCAGAAATGTTGTTTGTGTTGATTCAATTGGTGCTATTATAAGCTTTAACACAGTACTTACTTATAATTGACACCTTATACATACTTTCCAACAACTTGTGCTTTTATTTATTCTATTCTTTTTTTGCTAAATAATTATTTATAATTGTTTTAATTATTAAATTTTTCATGAATATTATTTAAACTGCAAATTTATACAGTTAAAACAAATATAATACTGTATATAATGTATCATAAAACACTGACATAAAACCAAAAACATTGCAGTTCATGAAAATTCAGCATTATGCAATCTCTTGAGAGGAAGACTATGAACATGAGTGCACAATTTCATGTCTTTACTAATATAATTCAGCTGAATAGAAAAACAAAAGCGTAAAGGGATGCCTCTGCTCCCATTAGGAGAGCCCTTGCTTGCTTCTCCCTGAATCCAAGAGGAATGAATTGGGGGAATGTCGGCCTTTGTCATCCTACTAGCTCATCTATGATTCAACACATACTAAGGCTATGAGGACAAGAGAGACCCATTTTAATTAAAAAAAAATATTCAGAGTGATACTGATGCATGCTGGGTAACAAAAAAAACACTATTCAAACAACTGATAGCACAATAGCGTAACTAAATTGCTACTAAATATGTAATAATTGCATCCTAATGGAAGAACTGGAGAACATTAGAATTTCAGACAAATAGGAGGAAACGTTTGAGTCAATCCATGGAAAGAAACTAATTCCCAAGTGATCTCAAACGCGAGAAAAAAAACAAGCTCTGCAGATGAATCAGCTCTGGGAAATAAAGCCGTTTAGATGTCTCATTAACAAAGTCGACTAGATAATCTTCTTTCCTCTTCTGCATCCAAGAAAAGTCTCTTTTGCTGATGTCCAGTAAGACTTCAAATACTTTACAACTACAAAAGCATCCTGAAAATGAAAGAGATAGAGAGTGAAAAAGAGAGGGGGCGGACAAAAAATAAACCCTCCCTGATGAACCTAGCATTGCTCGCCCCGATTCCCTTTCTGCGCCCTCCCTTTGTCAAAGCAATCTGGGGGTTTCCAGTGGACAGATCTCTCCTCCTGCTTACCCTCTGACCCTTGATCCATCTTTAAATGTAGGGCAAATCCCCCTTTTAGCAAGTGTCCACACTTCATAATGCTACTTTGCTTTCACCAATGCACATCGGTTCAATCCCCTCATCCTGGCAGCATCGACGTGACGTCACTGACACCATCCGCGCTTACATTCCAGAGTCTTCCACCCCAACCGCACTGCATATTTTGCACACTTTCATCCGTATGTGCTTTGACATGTTTATGTAATGGTTTAAATCTATGAGCTCTTGGGAGGAATTACTAATAGTCTGATATCAGTCTGACCGGTGTGTATAACGGTTCAGTTTGTGCACATGGACCTTCACCAGGCAACTAACAACAATCCATCTTTATCTGTGTGCAGTTATACTTGCTCCACGAAAGGCCCATACTGAGTAGAAACCAGATACCAGGACAAACACAGAGGGTCTTGTGATATTTAGAGGAAACACTCGAGCCTGCATGTAATGAGATCCAACTGAGTTTCACTTGCCAAGACCCAATTTGTCAGATTTAGATGTCAAGGTGTTATTAAAAGAAAAAAAGACAATTCTGGCCTAATGTAACTCTACTCATGGTATGAAACTAAAATAGCTCTGTCATGTTGAACAAAGTAAAATCTTGCAGTGGTCTGGAAATAACAAACCTCAGTCTTCAAGGTGTCATTAAATCAGATATGTTATTACTTAGGTAAGTTATTGTTAACATATTGACGTTAACTAACATGCTCTGCCATGACAGTCAAAAGCAAAAACTTGCAGTGGTTCTCAACAAGGAGGCTGCAGAATTACCTAAAATTATTTAAATTAATAGATTATTATTAATATACTTTGTATTAATATTAAAAGAATTTATTGAAGAACATGCAGTTCTTGAAACTTCTGGAATCACACAAAAAAAAGAAATTCAGGGGGCTTTGGTTCAAAAAGATTGAAAACCACTGCGCTAACACTACAGGTGCATCTCAATAAATTAGAATGTCGTGGAAAAGTAGCCAAAATCATCACAATTAAAAGAATTAAAGACTTAAACTACTTCAGTCTGTGTGCATTGAATTTATTTAATACACGAGTTTCACAATTTGAGTTGAATTACTGAAATAAATGAACTTTTCCACGACATTCTAATTTATTGAGATGCACCTGTATAGTGCTGAAAATGCAACAAGTTCACGTTTTAAATTTGCAGTCTGACACATTTTTGAATGCAACTATGAACAACATAAATCAAGCTAACATCCGCATTCAAGAAAAATATGAATGTAAAAACTTCCTGATATGCAAGTTTGACTTTATCAGGAATTCATATGACAATACAATTGTGCTTTGCATTCTCAGCATTGCTGCAAGCGGTGCTATAGGATGTACAAGCATGAAAATATCTTAATTTTGTCTTTCATGTCAACCACTGTAATGGCAGAGCAACGGTTTGAAGAGAACTTTGCTGACTCAGTTGGTTAACATGTCGGCATATTTACAGCTAACTGTCTGAATAAGCATGTACAACAAGACCATCCATGAGAGGATGACCTATATACAGTAGGCCTATGTTTTGGGCCTAACCTAAAACTTCACCAAAGTTGTTCTTCACCCACATCCTGTAGGGGCACCATAAGAACCATGACCACAAAACGGCATAAACAAGTTATACCAACATGACTTCCTGTTGTAAGTCTGGCACTCTTTTTTGAATCGATCTTACTGTTGTGTTTCACAGGAGCATTTTCAAGCCTTTGGTCAATCGCAAAAAGTGTTCACATCAAACAACAAAGGCATCTTCTGCAATTAATGAAGGCTGAACATTGTTGCAGAGGTTGATAACATGGTAGCTTCTTACCTGAAGTTCACACCACGCTACTTCCACCGTTGTCTCCGTGTCCAAACCCTTGTAGACGGTTTTGAACGAGCCGCGTCCAATCTCGATGTCAAATTTGAGGAAACGCCCATCAGGTGAGGTGCCCACAGCTTTGGTTTCCACTTCTTCATCCTCCTGAACCTTTTTCTCAGCCTCCCTCTGCTCAGCTTCAGCACGGGCCTTCGCCACCCCTTTCTCCTCCTCTTCACGTTTGTCTGCTACTCCACTCTCCTGCTCCTTGTCACCCACATCGCTGGGCTCCGTCTCTGCCATCCCAAGGGCCTCGATCTGCCTCACACCCACATCCTGCACAGATGGGCTCTGTACCTCCACAATCCCATCAACCCCAGCAGCTCTTCCATCCTCTGCATGTTCTTCCAATAGGACACCCGAAACACCCACTTGGGTGTCAATGGTAACATCAGGGGCCGAACCCAGCACTGCAGGCACAACAAACTGCTCACAGTCCGGAGGCGAGGTGAGGATGCAGGCTTTGCTGGGCAAGTCGAGGGCTGTGGCATTGGAGTCACAGATGACGCTACGCCTAAAAAATCTGTGCTCAGCCGTCTTCAGATCTTTATCCATGGTGTGGCGTCGTTTTCTGACCTCCGTGTCTAGCTTCTCACCCACCAGTGAGTCCGAACCGGAGCCATTCACATTCTTTGGAGGTGGAGGGGCCAAGAAGGTCACCACCTTGTTGGGATTTTCCGATGACATCTCTCCAGGAAAAAAAAAAAGAAATTTATAAATAAATTATTATGAAAAAAAAAAAAAAACTCAAATGTAAACCTTGACCTTTTGCAAAAATTTCTTCTTTCTGCTTTTTACTGCGGCACAAAAAAGCCTATGAAAAAAAGTAATAAAAGCTCACGTGAACCACAGAGTTTGCTGGAAGGCCCCCTCCGTGGGGTATTCCTTACTAACAGTTACTCTTACAGTGTAAGGGGCCAGAGCCCAAGAGAGGAGGTGTTCTTTTATAAACGTAAAAGAACAAGACACAGTCACTGAGAGGCAAGCACTGATGGTGACAGACAAAAACTGTCAGATCCACTTCATCCATCCTGCAGTGACCCGGAGACAGCTGTCATTGGGCATAAGGGACCGCAAGAGGGAAAAGGGCAAGAGCCTTGATATTCTTCAGACCTTCAGAGTGCAGGAGACCTGGCTCCGAAACCCAAAAACCAGGTCCAGGTTTACTGCAAGATACATATAAAGAACATATTAACTGCACACTCAAGTTTATTTTTCCTGGTTCAAAAGCATTAAAAGCCGTTCTCCATTTTAATAAGCATTTTAAAAATTATACTAACAGCATCATTTAACTTAGAAATAATAAATATTAGCCTACGTTTCAACTAAAGACACTTATAAACGGCACTAAATTTTCAATATTCCGTTTAAAGGAGTTAAAGGTTGACATTAAAAGCAAACATAAGCTACTTCGACTTCGAAACCTTTTGCTAACTTCGGTTTTCTGTGCGTGTGGCTGCTGGGCTTTCGTCAGGTGTTCAGTTTCAATCGTATAAATATAAATAATAATAATAATAATAACAATAATAAAATGCTGTGCCTCAAAATGTCAACAAAACCAAACCATGTAATGGAGACGGGTCGCCCTGGTTACATGGGGTGGCCAGCTGAGATTTGGGGGGATTTTTTTTTTTTTTTTGCAATTCTCCAGCAAAGACAAGCACACAACTCGGTCAATTTCTGTCGTATTTTGCATTTATGACGCATTTAAATGGTTAAAAGTTTCCAGCGATGCTTTTATAAAGTTGCCAAGTAACGGCGAACGTTAGTTCTTCGGGTCTCGAGCTCATTCTTAAGATAACGCCGCGCGCGTTTAATCGCGTTTTTTTAACAGGAAGCGCGTACGAACACACAGACGCAAAATACGACATACCAGCCTATAATATACAATGGGAATTTAATATCATATGCCTGTCAACCCATAAAAAACAAGCTGAGGTTTATAACCAGGTATATAATGAAAAATAGGAGGCTGGCCAGCGATTACCTTTCGTATCGTCGTCTCCATTCCCCTCTGATGTAGACAAAGCGACAGCTGCAGTTGCTTGAGTTGACCGAGCGAATAATTTAATAGAGCTAACGATCGCCGAATAGTTGTAAAGACCAAAAGAATCACGGCTAGAGGACCGAATGGTCAGAAAATATAAATTCCATAAATTTAGCACAGCTATGCGTTCATCGTGCTAAGCATATTTGCTCTACAGGCCAAGTTCAAAACGGGGCTGTTGAATCCAGCGTGATGCAGTGACTAATAAATTCGGTATCCAGCGCAACGATGTATCCCGTGATAAAACATTATGACAAATCAACAACCGAGTCCGGTTCCGGTCGACTGCACGCGGATCCGCTGCAAACCAGCGAGTTTCTTCCTTTCACGTGAACAATGCAACAACATCCACTGCGGTTCGCGTTCGCTGCTGTCGAGCCGGCTGAATCGTTATCCTTATGCAGCAGTCGACAAATGACAACTGGTAGTCTCCATATGCAGTATTAAGGTTTCTCTGGAACTGCTGCTCTCGGTTCGGGTGGTGTTATTGAGACTCCGGTCTGTCACGTTGGTTTTAGCTCCGGGGCTGCTGCTGTCTACCCTCCCACTGAATACTGACAGCAGAGACGCCAGCCTGCAGTGTCTTAGAACGGCCTGAAGAGGTCACTGTTTCCACCCTGGGTTTATTTACAAATTTTGCAGTGCAAAAGTTGATTCCCTTCCTCATGAATGCAGTTTTCTTCACGTCTACTTTGGTTGCGATGCTAATTCTTATTTTTATTTTAAAAGCTGACATTCTCAGTGTCAGTGTATCCTGATCTAACATGGCCATAGTGTTTTTTAACATGCGATGTTGTGTAATAGGCTACATGCCAGTTGCACACTCTCTTATCTAAGTGCTTATTAACAGCTTGCTTCAAGTTGGACCACAGCAGAGATGCCAATATATCTCATTTGCCCTGGCATGGAATTCTGGCTCTTCTTCCATGCGGCTGATTAACAGTAAATCTGCGAGCAATCAGGCCCCCTTAAACTTCTGGCACATGTGCTTTTACTGTTGTAAACAAAGAGAGCTTTTCAAATTCCAGCACGTTCCATGCAACAAAAATCATTTTTTCCTTTGTAATTTATTACAGATGATGGGCATTAAATAATGAAGTATGAAACTGTTAACAGTCCTTCAGAAAAAGTGTGTGCAGATCTTTTGATGGATATTAGAAATTAATACGAAATATGAATCATGAAGCAAATTTAAAATGCTAAAGATATCCAACAATGAAAGCAAAAAAACAAAATAGCATATTTACTGTAAGTGCTCAGTGCTTTATTTAAAATGATTAATGAGGAAGCATATATGGTAAGCAACATTTAAATGGTTATTTTGCTCAAATTAATTTATGCATTTTTACTTTTTTTTATTAAATTATGCATTTTGCATTCACATATTAAGCATATCTCCTCGGTTTGTTATGCATTTCACTTTATACTTTTGCAAAACATAACACATTCAGTTTTATATTTAAATAAAATATTAATACTAATGTAGGAAATGCCAAATAGCAATTATGTTGAATTTTCATTTTGCAAAAATTGTTACGCATATCACAATGGGAAGTGTGAATTCAAATAAAGAAACGTTACTGTTTTCTTTTCTCTTTTTTCTCTCTCTTTTTCTGTGGCCAGACTGTTTTCTCAGAGCCCCTTATAACACTAGACATTTGTTTTTCTTTTTTGCGTTCCCTTCCTCTCCAGATGGCACACACGAGTAGGATCTTTCTTAACATCACAGATTCTCTATATGGAGGCCCCACTGCTACCACTGCTAAAACTACCTGTGGGGCCCAAAGAGGCGACACAAGCATATGCAAGTTGTGCATACTCAAGTAAGACAGTAAGGTGTCGAGATCACGGTATGTGTTTTTGATTGCACCCTGAGAGGCTGTTTGTTTTGGATGCATTGACTGTGGGATGGGTACGGCAGTGACTGAGCTCTGTTGACATACAGGTCAATTGAGAGCATGTGGAAATTTCACACTGGTAGGAATAACACTGGTAAGAAGACTGCATTAACATACATTAACAAACCTTTCACTATTTGACTAATTAATTTGTGCAAACAGAATGTGTCAAATGTACATTGTCTTTGAATGAGAGTCCACACAGCTGATAAAAGCAGTCGATCATTTAACATCTTGTGAAGTGAAAAGCTGCGTGCTTGTACTCATATTTTTGCCAGAAGCAAAGGTTTAAAGTTCAAACACCTAAACATTGAATTTGGACGTCTGTGGATTACTTGTGGATTATTGTGATGTTTTTATCAGCTGTTTGGTCTCTCATTCTGATGGCACCCATTCACTGCATTGATGAGCAAGTGAAATTGCTTTAAGTGTGACAGTTAGATTAGGGGAATAACAAAATAAATAAAGAAAAATAAAGAGGATGTATATTTTGTGTTATCTACTGTAGATAAAAAAATCCTTCAAGCTGTAAGATTATGTAATATAATGTAGCTTCAGTACATCAGTTTATCCACTAGGCGGTGGGAATGAGTGAATTTTTTTTCACCCAACATACACAGAATTTGTATTTGATTATTTATTAAGACAAATATTTTTGAATATTTTAAACATTTGCGAGTCCCCTCACTGTGCATTGCTGGGATCTTGTATTTAGACTGGTCTTTAAGATAACTGCAACACTCCGGAAGGTAAATATTTGCTCTGAGACTGAAACAATGCACAAGCTAATCTAAATGAGTGTAAGGAGGGTTATCTTAAAGTCACCATGTCAAATGCCTGCTGGAAAGTTTAACATTCCATTGTAAAGAGCCACTGGATGGCAGATGATCTGTCAAATGTCAGTGTTTTTATTCAAACTTCTAAAGCAAGTCCTGTTTGATGGTATAGAGCAGAGGGTACACAATGTACAGGACCCATTCCAGAGTTCAGGGGCTGGGTGGAGCCTATTGTCTTTACATACAGGAAAACAAACCCACTAAAATCTATTTTCTTGATTAACTAAAGGGCAATGTCTTGAATTTGGTCATTAAGTCTTCATCACACTGTTAACAAAAACTGTTAACACTGTTATTAAAAAGAAAATGGTTACTTTAGTCAAAGTCAAAGTCTGCTTTATTGTCAGTTCTGCCACATGTACAGCACATACAGAGAATTGAAATGGCTTTACTCTCAAACCCTTGGTGCATACAGATAACACGAAACACTAACGGTAGAATGTAAAAATATAAATAAATACAGATTCAAATATAATAGAAAATACAACTATACAAATATACAAGTAAGGACATGCAAAAAAAATTGATAGATAAAGATGAAGAAGCACAAGGCACATGGCAGATAGAGAGCAAACCAGTGATATAAACAAACAGTGCAGATATAATGGGTATAGTGCAAAAAGAGCTTATAGGTCTGTTTAAAGTGACAGAGAGCTCAGAGAGCAGTCTTTATTTAAACTGTATGTCTTTATAACAATATGTCATATTATTGCTGTTTGTACTGTTGTTGTTTTTTTTAATCAATTAATGCAGCCTTGGTGAGCATAAAAGGCTTCTTTCACAAACATTAAAGTATCTTACCAACTCCAAACATTTGAGTGGTACTAGTATATGCACAGCACATTTGCTCACACACAGACAGAGTAAGGCCACTTGCACTAGATTCCAACAAGGATAGAAGTTAATTTTAATTCAGTCTATTTTAGGCTTCAAAGTGGTCATCTGCTCTAGCTCAGTGTTTGAGGTTACATGCAGAGATGTTTTGAGCATTCACAGAGCACAAAGAACCACAAATGCCACGTGTCCACCACTATTGCAGCTGCGATGGCACTCAGCCCATGGACTGTGTCAGTGCCTGTAGCTGCTAATGCCTCATTGTGTCTTTTAGGAGAGAAGTGAGTGAGTAACCGGCACGCACTGTCACTGTGGGAACAGTCTAAGAGAGCGAATGTGCTGCTGTTGGGTTCCTCAAAGCTAAAAGGAATAGTTCACCCAAAACCGAAAATTTGCTGAAAATGTTCTCACCCTCAGGCCATCCAAGATGTAGATGAGTTTGTTTCTTCATCAGAACAGATTTGGAGCATTACATCAGACACAGAGGATCCATTGGTGAGCAAATGTCACCAATGGATCCTCTGCAGTGAATGGGTGCCATCAGAATGAGAGTCCAAACAGCTGATAAAAAACATCACAATAATCCACACGTAATCCACACAACTCCAGTCCATCAGTTATCATCTTGTGAAGTGAAAAGCTATATGTTTGTAAGAATACAAGTCCTCTATCTATAGTATTGCTTTCTCCAGTGAAAAAGTTGTTTAGTCTGAATCAGGAGAGAAATATGCACAGGGTTATTGCTCTTAATCCTGTGATGTGCACATTTATAATAGACTCCCTGTATTATGACTGTGCACGTCTGATTATGTGTCGTGCTGTGCCTGATGACTTGTGTGTGTGTGTGTTTAGTAAAATATTTAATAGCTTTTCTAGTACACTTTTTTTTTTAGTTTGTATAAACATGCAAACTAGAACAAGTCAATTATGAATTTGTTTCTTCATCAGATTTGGAGAAATTTAGCATTGCATTACTTGCTCAGCAATTGATGCTCTGCAGTGAATGGGTGCCGTCAGAATTAGAGTCCAAACAGCTGATAAAAAACATCACAATAATCCACACGTAATCCACACAACTCCAGTCCATCAGTTATCATCTTGTGAAGTGAAAAGCTATATGTTTGTAAGAATACAAGTCCTCTATCTATAGTATTGCTTTCTCCAGTGAAAAAGTTGTTTAGTCTGAATCAGGAGAGAAATATGCACAGATCAAGCACCATTTACAAGCGAAATCAGTCCAAAACAATTCTAAACAAATTTGTTGCTGGATGTTGATGTGAGAAGAACAACAGGGGATGGACCTGGATTTTTTTCACTAGAGGAAGCGTTGTTATGGATTATGGACTTTTTGTCTAGAAGCAAAGGCTTAAAATGAAAATGCCTTAATGATGGATTTGTTTATTGCTAACATGCAGCTTTTCACTTCACAAGACGTTAATTGATGGACTGGATTCATGTGGATTACTTGTGAATTATTATTAGATGTTTGGTCTCTCTCATTCTGACGGCACCCATTCACTGCAGAGGATCCACTGGTGAGCAATTGCTGTAATGCTAAATTTCGCCAAATCTGTTCCAGTTAAAAAAACAAACAAACTCATCTACATTATGGATGGCCTGAGTACATTTTTAGCAAATTTTCATTTTTGGGTGAACTATTCCTTGAAGCTCTGGACGATGGCACTGTTGAGTGAACCTTCGTTTCAGAAGGCAAAAATGTCTCTACATCAATCTATCACCATCTCACAAGACATTCTGTTTTTTGGCCCCTTCTTGCCCTTTTTTGCTTAGTGAGGCCCAGCACCACAGCAAACACTGGCTTGCTTAACATACCTGGATCAGGGCAGTGCAACTGAAAGAACACTGTCAACCCACACCCTTAATGGAGGCTGTTCTTCAGCTCTAGGCCTGTACCTTTCAGATGTATCTGCTTTGTTTGATACTTTTCTTTAGCCAATCCTCTCTGTGTCTGTAATTACAGCAATTATTATT